CTGCAACACCAGCGATGGTCTGTGGGCGCGGCACGACCTGGTCGTCAGTGAGCAGTTCATAGCGACGAGATGGGTAAGAAAGAACGAGAAAGCGCACGTTGTTGTGCGGGCCGCCCTGGCAAGCGGGGAAAACGGCGTCGTTGATGCGCTTCTCGAGGTCGGCCTCCTTGTCCTTGCGGAAGAAGATGAGACCGGCGCGCGGGCCGCGGAGGGTCTTGTGACTGTGTGGTCCGCAGATGAGATGGTCAGCGTGAGCAGGGCGGCATGAACGAGCAAGCGAGCGCGACGAACGTGGTTGTGCAGACGATGTCGCAGTACTCGAACGGGTCATTCTGCACCTGGGCAGCGACGAGACCCGAGATGTGCGCCATGTCCATCCTGCGAGGGAAGCAGTGTTGTGAGCTGATGCTGCCACTAGGGACTAGAGACAAAGCGGGACCGCTGGACGCACATGAGGTACGAGCCGTTGATGTCGGCGAGGGCACGGAGGCGCTTGTAGTCGAAATCCCTCGGGTACGCCGACGCACCGCAGATGAGGATCCTGGGCTTGAACAGCTTGACGTTCTTCTCGAGCGCCTCGTAGTCGATGAGGCCCGTCACGGGGTCGACCTGGTACGGGAGCGGCTCAAAGTAGATGGACGAGGCCGAGATCTTGCGCTTCGGGGTGAAGGCGCCGTGGGTGAGGTGACCGCCGTGAGCAAGCTCGAGACCCATGATGCGGTCGTGCGGCTGGATGAGCGCCGTGAAGGCGGCAAAGTTGGCCGTCGAGCCAGAGTAGGGCTGGACGTTGACGCCCCACTTGGAGCCTTCGAGGTGGAACGCCTCGAGCGCGCGCTTCTGGCAAAGCACCTCGAGCTCGTCGACAACCTCGTTGCCGCCGTAGTAGCGAGCGCCGGGGAGACCCTCCGAGTACTTGTTGGTAAAGATCGACCCGTTCGCCTCCATCACGGCGAGCGACGTCAGGTTCTCCGACGCGATGAGCTCGAGACCGCGGTACTGGCGGTACGTCTGTGTGGGAACGAGTGCGTGTGCATCTCTTGTCAGCGGCAAATCCCGGCAGTGGACGCTCGTTGCCGATCGAGGGTCGCTCGGCTCGTCAAGTGGGGGCGGCATCGCGACAGTCTGCCTGCGCTGTTTCGCATCTACCCACAACCTGCAGCATTCGCAACGGGCGCTGCACCGACCGGGGCGCGACCGCGAGGTGCTGGGCGAGGTGGGCGATGCTCGATCCCCCGGTTGAGCTCGAACGCGAGTCGTCCTCGCCCCCTGTCGATGACTGCCCAGCCAGCCGAGCGTCTCCTACGCGGGGTGTTGAAGGCACTTGGGCCTCCTGCGAGATGCAGCCGGCGCGCGCGGGCCCGCAGTTGGCCCCCACAGGTCGCCCAGCTTTTGACTCGTGCGGCGGCAAGACGGGGGGTGGCAAGCCGCGGACTCACCTCGCGGTCGACGAGCGCCTGGATCTCCGGGTCGGCCTGTGCGAGGGGCACATAGAGGTCCTTGTTCTGCGATTAACGAAGCAATGGAGAGGTGGATATGGGGAGGAGGGCGCGGAAAGACGGAACGGATCAGCACGGGAGACACGAGCGAGGCGGCGGTGGGGGCGAGTGGAGAGAAAGGGCTTGTTGGACGCACAAAGTCGTTGGGGATGGGAACCGACATGATGGCAGAGCGAGAGAAGGTGCGGCGAGCGGTGGTGGACGAGAGGGTGGGAGGGAACGAGAGCGAGCGCAGGGCAGAGCGCAACATCGACCACGGGCTGAAGTTGGGCCAAGGCGCGAGAGGGGGCAGAGAGCGGGACAAGAGTCAGGCCAGGGCCAAACCTGGGGGGAACGGGGGCTCGACGCCGTGCGGGGGGGGAAAAGGCCCAAAGCGGGGAGGGGCGAAAATTCTCCACTTGCCGACTTGCGCGCAGATCCGCGCGCACGAGCTGAGGCCTCCAGGGGGCAAGCTCGACGACGCTCGCCTTCAGTCAGACCGCTCGACTCGCGCGCCCGACCACAGTCACTAGTCATGCCGGCCTCTGCTGGTGCCGCTGCCGCCACCTCGGCATCGTCGTCGCCCAGGAAGCGGCCTCGCACATCCGCCGCCGGATCCACCTCGACATCCGCGCGAGCTCCGACGACGAGTGCACCGCCTCCTTCCTCCTCCTTCAAGACGGCTCCACCCATGTCGGCAGTCGCAGCTCGCAGGGCAGCACGCCTCGCTGCTGCTCCTGCAGCTCCTCCTCCTCCCCCGCCTTCCGCGCCGCACGCAGGAGTCAGTCCCGACGACGAGGAAGCCGACTCGCATTCGGACGCCGGCAGCAACGCGTCGTCGTCGTCCGCAGAGCAGGCACCACAGCCCAAGCGCAAGCAGCAACAGCAGAAGAGCAAAGGCCCGACGCGCTACTTTGCCGCGTCAGAGCCAGAGGTGCCGCGAACGCGTGAGGAGGATGGCGAGGGGATGGAGGTGGACGCGGGCGCAGTCTCCCCGCCCGAAGGCCTCGACGCAGTATCCGACATCGAACCCGACGCGGCCGGGCCGGCGACGCCAGTCCGTGCCCGCAGGCGGCGCGAGAAGAGGTTCGCCTCCAGCTCTTCCTCTCGCGCGGCTCTTGCGCTCTGGTGTCTGTTCCCCCAGCTTATCGGTTTTGAGCCCTGCAGCGCATTCATCGACCCGCTTTGCACGTCGGCCTTTCACTTTCTCGACGGTGTGAACGCCGTCCGGACGACCGTGGTGGACGAGGGCGGGGTCCAGCGAGACGCCGTCGTTTACGCGCTCCAGGTTGGCGAGGTGCGCACACCCTCTGTCCCGCATAGTAGAGCGAGAGCGATCGCTGAGCAGCACCCACAGACGCTCGTCTTTCGCGGTGCATGCACCCTCACCCCCGTCTATGGCCACGTCAAGGTCCTAGGCGCTACCCTCGCGCCCACCATGCCGACCGAGGAGGACACCGTGACCGTCCCGCCTCTCTCGCCTTCGGCCAGTCATCCTCTCTTCGCCCCCTCGTCCCACCCGCTCCCGCCCATCTTCGGCGCGCCCCTTTCGACGCCTGCCTCCTGCTCCCTCCTCCTCCCGTCCGGCGAGACGCTCGACCTCACCCCGTATTGCGCCGTTGTCCTCGTCTCGGACCTCGTCACTGGCATCGAGGGTATCGAGCGCGTGCTCGTCGCGGGCGGAATGGGCCAGGGCAGCGGCATGTTCGCGCGCAAGAAGGGCAAGGCACCGGCGGCTCAGGGTGGCGCGACCTGGTCTCTCGTACGTCTGCTTTCCTACATGCGCAAGATTTCGCAACGTTCTGACCACCCCGCGCGAGCAGGTCCTTGAGCCCGAACCTTCCCTCGCCGGTCTGCGCCCGCCCGACCCGTGGCTGGCCGCCCTCGCCGCCGCCGTCCCGCCCGGCCCCGCCTCGGATGACGACGACCACGACGCCTTGCCTGTCGCGGAACGCTTCGTCGCTCTCGTCGAGGGGCCGAAGCGTGCCGGCAAGAGCACGTTTGCCAAGGTGCTCCTCAACTCGCTCCTGACGCGCTATGGCGCCGTCGCGTACCTCGACACCGACCTTGGCCAGCCCGAATTCACGCCGTCCGGCTTCCTGTCTCTCAACTTGCTGCGCCAGCCTATCCTCGGTGCGCTCGTTTCCTCCCCCGTGTGCCTGTGCTGCGTCGCTGACTCAGTGCTCTCTCTCGGCCTCGCTCTCACGCAGGTCCCTCCTTCACCCACATCTCTCTCCCTCTTGCGTCGCGGTTCTTGGGATCGACCTCTCCCGCCTCGGACCCGACCGCCTACCTCGAGGCCGCACAGGCGCTCATCGAGGCGTACGCACTCGAGGTAGAATACCCGCTCGATTCCGCCTCTCCCGGGGGCGGCAAGGTCGTCGAGCGCGTGCCGCTCGTGATCAACACGCAAGGATGGGTCAAAGGTCTCGGCGCCGACCTGCTCGATAAACTCAAAGCGATCGCGCGCCCGACCCACGTCTTCTCGTTCTCGCAGCCGGACGACGCACCCGCGCCGGTCCTCGGAGCCCCCACAATCCTCCTGCCGCCTGCGCCGCCTAGTCCGCTTGAGGGCAAGTGGTCGGCGGCAGACTACCGCGTCCTGTCGCTCGTCTCCTACTTTCACGCGCATCTCGCCTCGACCTCGACCACGCCCGCGCCGCCTTCGTGGGACTTCACGCGTCCGCTCCTCGCACAGGAGCCATTTGCGCTGACGCTCGCGGACCTGCCTGGCGGCGTGCGCCTCGCGAGCGCGGCGGGCGAGTCGATCTCGCACTCGCATTTACTCCACGCGCTCAACAGTGCGCTCGTCGCGCTTGTCGCGGCTCCGCCGGCATCCAGCCTCGACGAGACAGGCGTTGCGCCGCGGCCGGCCAGCTGCTCTGCGCTAGGTCTCGCGCTTGTGCACTCGATTGCACCGGGCGACCACGGTGTCGTCGACCGGGTCTCGACAACGCTACACGTCCACACGCCTGTCCCCGCCTGCACTTTGTCGGAGGCACGACCCTCCCTCGCGCTTGTCAAGGGCGAGCTGGACCTCCCTGTCGCGCTCATGCTCGACTGGGCCGCGCCAGGCGGTGGCGAGTCCGGGGTGGCAGGGGTTGACTGGCGCGAGGTTCCCTTCTTGAGTGTCGACGCGGCGGAGGCTTCCGGTCGGCGGAGGGTTAGGAGAAATGTCATGCGTAGGGGGCAGGCGTAGATTGGAGTTGGCACGGTCCCGTAAGGTGCAACAGGAGCACGTCCAGGCCCCTGCTTCTCGAGTTCTTTTTGCGACTCTGCCCTGTGTCCTCTCCCACTGCTGGTGCACGGCGGTGAAGTACAAGGGCGAGAGGAGGGAGTCAAAGGAGGGCAAGGATGAGGAGACGTGACGCAAGACAGAGGAGTCGGAGCGGAGAGGATAGAGTTGCGGCATTCCCCACAGCGGTAAATTGTGGGGCAGACATCAGTTGCCAGCCAGCCAGTAAAAAAGAAGGCGGTCCGTGTTCGGGTGGAGGGGGGGCGGAATGACCGACAAAAGAGTATTTGTGTCCGTACCGTGAATCGAACACGGGATTCCGCAGGATCAGTGACGCTGAGAAGCGCCGGACCACAATGCGACGTCGTAACCACTTGACCATACGAACTGTTCATTGCTACAGCATGCGCACAGCTACTCACCAGATGTAGTCTTGCAAATTACTGCAAGTGATGAGCAGTCAAGCGGGGCGGAGGGGGGGAATCGAGGGGGTGTCCGATCCCTGTTCGAGCACTGCTCACCAAGGGTTGGTTCGAAGCTGCTTCGATACGCCAAATCGAAGGGGGGCTGTTCGACCACCCTGGTTCGACCAGCAATCGAACAGGGGTCGACCAGGCCTGTTGGACGGCCCCCACCCCCCACCTCGGCCCCCCCTTGGTCGACCCCTCGTCGACCCCTCTTCGACCAGTGCTCGAACAGGGCATCGAACAGGCCCCCTTCGACCTCTCGTCACCAGGGGCACTTCGACCAGCCCGCTTCCAGCTTTGCTCGACCAGGGCATCGAATCGGGGCTCTTCGAGCACTGCTCGGACCACCCTCTTCCACCCCTCGTCGACTACTGCTCGATCCGACCCCCTTCGACCTCCCGCCAGGCCACCGCGGCCTCGTCAACGCTTCGCCTCGCCTTGCGCCCCTCAAGTCCCCCTCGCCTCGCCTCCTCCCCGTGCTCCCACTCCGCGTACCCTGGCGCCGCCAAGCGCATGCTACCGTCTAGTCGAGAGAGAGCGACGCACCGTGCAGTGATCAGCTGTCGAGTCTGCGCGCGAAGAGAACGAGCGGAGGGCGACGTCGAGAGAGTTGAGGGGGCAAGTAGAGCCGACGTCGGGAGAGGGGGGGTCGACGACGGCAACACTGTCGCTCGCGAGGATTGAAAGGACACAACCGTGGGTTGCAGAACTGTTCTCCTCGGTGGGTGAGCTGAGAGAACTACAGAGAAAGCGAGTGTGTGCGTACCTGTTCTCCTCGGTGGGTGAGCTGAGGAGAACAGGCAACTCGCGCGCGGCGGCCT